GCAATTCAATGCGAATCTTAATAACTACATACAATTGTTAGATTTTCAAACAGAAACAGCGCTAACTTGTTTGCTCTACAACAAGCGAATAATTAAGTTGCAATATGAAGAAGCAAAATCCCATTCGGAAAGGTATTATGACACAAAATGATAGGAACATAGAATGAGTGATAGTAAATTGAAAAACGTCTGCACGGAAAGCAGATATATGACTGGATTGCCAGCGGAAAAATATACTGAAAAGCACGAGCGAACTGCTTGAAATTTAAGGAAGAAATATGGAAAAGCACGCAAGAAGCATTTCATTGTTTATCGTTATAGTGGATTGGATATGCGTGAAGCTTGAAAGCATTATTGGGATGCTAGAACACGGAAAAATACCAGGTATTTCTCTAAAAAAATCTCTTTTTATACAATAACTCGTAGCAACTTTTGATGAATATGAGAGGAAAACATCTCATCTCAAGCAGAACATTTTCGTGAGAGTAACAAGTGAATGACTCATTTCTAGGTTCGGATACCGAGTTTTTGATATCAGATACGGTTAACCTATGGAAGTCGGTTTCCAATGTTTCGATCGGCACACGGAGATGTCCATAGGTAAGATTTGGTGGCGATGCCGCTGATCTACAGAACCCTAAGTTGCTCACTGAATGTTTCTGATAGTTACGGTTAGAAAACGCACTTACCAGCAAACGCGATAGCCGTGATATTGAAGGAATTTCAGGATTTCCGCAGCTCGAAAACGATCTTTACGTCGTTCAAAATCTGTCAGCAAATCCCATGGTACCAGCGGAATAGGCATATTGCCGCCTTTTGTTGCCAAATCATTGAATACCTTCAATTAAACGTCATAAACGCTTAACGATTAAGCGTACGAACCAAAAATCCAAAATGTACTCCATAACATCTTCCTCGCAATCAAATAGAAAAGAAACGACAATCAAACGCATTTACGAATCTTTTCAAAACAATGCACAGTAACAATTCAGAATTGCCTTCAAAGAGTAAATCCATTCACAAAACTATGTGAAAAGCGAAAACGACCAAAAAAATTGATGAAAGAAACGTGGAAACCTTTTTGGCCCAAACGTTATGTGAGTGCTCGGCCATTTTCTCGGCTGCTGCGGTCATGTCTTTCTCGAGTGTCATTGTGGACAAATCGAACGGTCGTGGATTGAAGTTCTCAACTGAAAATGATTTCGAATTGGATTCGTAAATTTAACCGTTCTTAATCACTTTTGTTGCTATTAAGAAGCGTAGTGAAGAAAATGTAGAATGAAATTTGGTTGTTATCGGAAGTTACTATCAAAATTTTGTCATCAATTTTTGTTTGGCTGTGCATACTCGATGTTCCAGATGAAGTGTGATTATTCGCAGCTTTATCCGCCGCATCGTGATCGTGCAATTCGATAACGTA